CCTGCACCTCACGGGCCTCCTCCCCCGCTTCTCGCTCCCGAGGGTCACGAGGAGCAGCCACCACGGGAGGCCCCCCCCAGCCGTGGCTGGCGCCCCTGACCTTGAGGCACAGCGGCCCTCGGAAGTGCTGGGTCCACGGGTGGCAGCCGTTGAGCATGTGCAGCATCATGCAGCAGCTGCTCCACACATCCACCTTGGCGTCGCAGGGCTTGCCCAGCACCACCTCGGGGGCCATGTGCGTCTCTGTGCCCGGGATGTAGTCCCCTGGGGAGGCAAAGGCAGCGAGAGTGGCACCCCGCACGCTCCCGGGCAGGAGCCGCAGCGGCCAGCCAGGCCACCTCCTGCCACACCCCAGGCCTGTCTGTTAGGCGAAGCTTGGAAGGAGAAATCCCCAAGGGAACTTGCTGGGGGGCAGTGAAGCCAGGGTCCTTGTCCTTGGGGGCCTAAACACACACCATCCGGGAACTTGCTGGGGGGCAGTGAAGCCAGGGTCCTTGTCCTTGGGGGCCTAAACACACACCATCCGAGATAAGGGCTCTGCCCCTAAGTGAAACCCTTAAGCGACTCTTGAAAATGCGGGCGGGAATGTGGGCGGGTCTGGACACTGAAAATGGCAGGAGGCTCCTGAAGCTTCAGGAAGTGGGGACACAAAACCCCGATCATTGAGAGCTATGAGAATAAAAGACTGGAAGGATGGAGGCCAGATGCTAACAGTATTTTTTACCAGTGATTGGTAATTTCTACTTTCAGTTGGCTCTACCTTCTGCAAGAAACTATTGGAAAAGAAAAAAATATTTTTCTAATAGAAAAATCCCACAAAAGTTATTTTAAAACAGAGGCGGGGTGTTTATGTTCAATTTACAATTTATCAACATAATTTTGTGAAAATAAATCACACATTTCTAAAAGTTTATTTCCCCTTTGGTCAAAATGAAATCATTTTGTGCTCACTGCTATAAATGAAAGAAAGCAGGGCATAAAATTGCACGATAATGGTGCAGGGTAAGGGAGCCCGTCAGGCTTTTTACGCCGTTGGCTTCTGTGGGGATCACCTGGGACCCTGACGGGGAGTGTGGGCGGGGCCACGCGTGCCTGAGGCTGACCACCTGGAGGATGGTTAGTGAGCGCCGTAAGTGTGCACACCTGAGCCAGGAGGCCGGGGATATAAGGGCAGACCACCCAGCCCGCTGCAGCAGAGGTGAGACCACGAGAGAGCGAGAGAAGAGCAAAGGTTTGTGGGGGTTGGGAGGCCCAGCTGCCTGCCTGCCTCTCTGCATGCAGCCTCCAGGCCTGCAGTGCCTCTGTGCCCGGCTCCCTGAGAGAGCACTAGAGCCTGAAGGAGCCACTGGGAGCTCCAGGACTCTCCCCTGTCTGCCGGAATCGACAGTGAACCTGTCCTATGCTTGCTGGAACAAATGGTCTTTGCATAGAAAAAAATCACCTGGAAGGAATTGCCTACATTTTCACAAAGCCAGTTCACCCTTAGTTTTTCCTTCCCCTCTGTACCGGTTAACTCTGTGGTTATCAAGTATTTTACAACAGGCATGGATATTTTAATAACCCGAGAACTACAAGTTAAAAGAATCATTTCTGCAGCTACGAAGTCTAGGCCCCTCAGTCAGCCTTCCCATCTGCTTCCAGAAACTGCTCCCAGGCGAGGGAGAGCTGAGGTCACACAGGGTCACTGGGCCAGGAGCACGGCTGCCCTGAAAGGGCCCAACAAGAGGCAGGAGCTGGGGGGCGCTGAGGCAGGAAGCCTGGGACCTAGGGCGCGGGCGCGGCGCCCAGCCTTTTCTGCTCCATCTCTGTATGACAGGAACTTCAGAAAGGAGCACCTGCCAGGAGCTACTGCATCAGCTAACAAAACCTTATAATCCCAGAGGACAGTGTGGGCTGAAGTCCACCGTGGCTGTAAAGGACTCCCGCCTCTCAGTGCCACCTGAAGTGACAGGAGGGTACAGCTAGTGCCTAGTGAAGGCTGCTGGCTGCACGTCACAGAGGGACCTTGGGGCTTACCTGTGAGTAAGGACTTCCCCAGGCCGTCGGGCTGAAGGCACATGGCGTGGCCAAAGTCACAGAGGGCTGCGCGGCTTCCGTCGCTGGACAGCAACACATTGTCAGCTGCCAGGCCGTCCCGGCGAAGAAAAGGAACAGGTGAGTCACAGCCCTGGTCTACCTGGTCTAACCTGGACCTCCATGAGGCAATTTTCTGGCTGACTCTACATGGTGGCTGCAGCTTCTGATTAGTTTCATTAGTCATGGAAGGAGGAGGAGGTTATCAGTTTGTGCTAGGGGCAGCAGCAGGCAGGATCTCTGAGGGTGAGGGGACAGGACCAGAGTTTACACATGGGGACACTGTCCCTCAGCTCTGCCGCCTCCCTCGCCCAGTGGCCCCCACCCACCGGAAACCACGGGGCCTGGCTGTGACTTGAGGGAACACACAGCCCTGCCGGCCAGGAGTAGGCCCTGCCCCTGGAGGTGACCACAGGCACAGAAGGTGAAGGAGATCAGCGGGTGAGGAAGGAGCTGCTGGGGTCAGTGTAGTGGGGGCGGAGCCTCACCTTTGACATCGCCGTGCAGAATCCTCTGGGTGTGGAGGTATTCCAGCCCTTCCAGGGCCTGACCCAGGTAGTACAGGGCCCGGTCCTCTGGCAGACAGCCCTTCTGCTTTATGAGCTGGCCCAGCGAGCCACCTAGGAGACCAATGGCCAGTCTTTACCAGGACCAGGACTTTTAAGCAAGTCAGGGGCAAGGACTCTGAGGGGCAGGTGGTGGAAAGCAGCCTTTTTCCTGCCGAGGTCACAGGGTCGAGAGATTACAAATGAGTTGACTGGGGGTAAGGTCAACCTGGGCAAGACTCGGAAACCCTTGGATGTGAATCCCGAGGGAGAAGGTGGGCCCTGGCCCTTACCTTCCAGCAGTTCCATGAAGATGTTGACCCAAGGGCCCTCCCTCACAGCGCCGTACAAAGGGACGATCCTGGGTGACTTCAGTCCCGCACAGGCTACCAGCTCCTCGGCCCGAAACACGTCCACGCGCACCTGTGACAGCCCAGAGGCAGCGGCAGGTCAGGGCAGGTCCAGCCTCTTGCAGAGACTGCTGCTGTTCCCAGGGCCATTTTGAGGTCAGGCAGCACTAGACCCTCAGACACTAAGCCATAGGCTGTGTGCCCTGGGGCAGGGGGCAGGCCCAGAACTTACATCCCAACATCAGCGCAAGCTTAAAAAAGCAGATGCCCCAATAGACTGTTTTGTTCAAGAGGGCCCAAACTTTTTCTTTCCTCATCAACGTTCAGAGGAAAAGAGGCTGAATGAAATGACATTATTTGGGGCCTGCTGTGCTTGATGGAAGTTCTGCAGTGCTGACGTGGGAAAACAGAATCCATCAGAACTGGAGTCTCATCAGACTCAGGCAAGCTGCCCACCCTCCAATCTGCTAGACAGATTCCCCCTGGCCCAATGTCCACGCAACTTCTAGACACGGCCCTCTTGTTTATCGGCCTCCACGCCCACTCTTGGGCTGCTGGGCTCTGAGAAGCCTGGTGCTGGCCCTCCGCAGCTTCCTCCTCAGCCCTCCCTACCCTCTCAGCCATTTGCTTTCCCTCCAGGGACAGAAACAGCCATTCAGGTGCGGCTGTGTTTGTCTGCTCTGTCTGCAGCAGTTTCCCCAGCATCTGGCCAGAGGCTTCTGGGTAGGGTTTGGCCAAGGCCTCTCTGGCTGTGGACTGCTTGGCTTTCTGCAGGGATCAGCGCGGCATGGTGGGAAGAAATAGGCCTTAGATGGAAACTCTGGCCACCTCCAAAGGTGTTTCCCGTACGTGAGTGGTGAGGCCAGCGGCATATGGTCCCTGTGATCAGTGAAAATTTAGAGGATAACCAGCATCAGGCCCAGCCACCTCCGGGTGCTCGGGAAATGCTGGCTCCCCACTTTCTCCAGCTCAGGCCAGGGCAGCTTATTAAACACGTGGGAGTCCTCAGAGGTTTCCCCCACGGTGGTTGCTGCAGCTTCTCAAGTTAGCCCCGAAGCAACACCAGGGGGCGCCAGCGGCACCTTCCGGGAAGAAGGCAGGAGGGACGCCGTGGGCTGGATGCGCTGACCCCGCAAATAGGAGCGCGAGGGTGTGGGGCTTCCGCCCGCCGGTGGAGAATGTCTCTCCTGGTACTTAAAGTTAAGATCCGCTTCGGTTAACTAACCCAGGGAATTTCGACTCTGTCAGGGTTTCCAGTTCTAAGTCTCGGTTGGAACGCACCAACGGGACTTAGCCAGTGTCTTTAACCCCTTGCACCCCAAGTGTGGGCGGAGTCCACTGGGGCACTTGGGTGTCAGAGGTAACGGTGCCCTTGTCTGTGGGACACCCTGCAGCTGAGCTCCAGAAGGCCCGTGTCACGCCTGAGCGCGTTCCTTCCCATGACACAGCCTGGAGGAGCCCCGAGTTTTGGAGGTTGTTGTGATAGAAAGTACTTGGGGGCGTGGGGGATGTGGAGCAGGAAATGAAAGTTATGGTGTCTAATCTGATGTCAACATTTGAGAAGTTGGGTGCTGCCCCCCCCATATACCCCATCCCTCCTTAGGACTGGAAGATGAGAGGAGGAAGTTTTCTTTTCACTTAAGTGGTTATTCAAATGGCTCCTGAGCTGTCAGAATAAAGACATGCCCTTTGACCTAAAAGCTTAATGAACAGAACAGTTAGAATACTTGTTCCTGGCCTGGGGCACTGGTAAAAAATGAACGACCCTCTAAGGACTGTGAACCGAGAAAGCCTGGCTAACTTTGAGGGAAGCTGTCAGTCCTCTAGCGGGTGAAGTGTCTCCAGCCACCCAGACTAAAGGGCTGGAGACACCGCAGAAGGTGCTTCAGAAGCTGGGGCAGAGGGCTGAGGGTGGTCCTGAGGGAGTCAGTGGTGTCTGCACTAGCCAGCTGTGGGCTCACCTAGCTCCCCTCTCTGGACTCCAGGGTCCATCTGGGAGGGGCTGTGATAAGAGCCCGTCAGGACAACTAACTTTAACATCCGCTTCCCACTGGGGCTGCTCGGCCCTTTGCAGCCCCACCACAGCCCCGAGGCGTGCTCGCTGCACACTCGGTAGGAAGCTGACGTCTGGGCCAGTCGCGCGCGGAGGGCACTGGGTATAAAGCAGCAGAGAGCTAAAGGGGATTCTGGTTGGGGAAGCCTGACCCTTCCCCGCGCCCCCAAAGGTATCTCCAGACTGACTAGTGCTTACATCCTGAGTGTTTCTCCAGACGGCGGAGGTGGCACACCAGGAGGCTGCGTGCTCAGCAGCCACCTAACCCCCAGTGCCACTTCCCTGTTACGTGACTGCAGCTGACAGGGGTGGCGAGTGGCAGCAGCAGTTTTCCCTCATGAAGCTTTCCCCTCGTTTGCTGTGGTATCTATCCATGGTGCTCCATCAGTGAAAACAGGGCTAACAGCAATTCCAGACATTCTTTTAAAGACCCCAGGACATGAGGTCCACGAGTGACACACCGCCTGGGCTCATGTACCCAACCACTGTTGGAGGCCCCCCCTTAATCCTCATCACCATCCACCTATTCTGACCCTCTCCTAGCTCCATTTTCCTTCTAAACATCTATTCAAGCTGACCTCACCGTCCCCCGCTGATGGCTGCCACCTCTGTGCCACATAAGTGCCCCTCCCCCATGACCAGTGCGTGGCTTCAAGTGCCATCATGGCTGGCTTGACCTGGCCAAAGCCACGCTGCCCTAAGTGCCCCGGTGCCAAAAGGAGGCTCCCTGAACCCCACGTTCCAGCTGCTGTTGTTAACCCTCTTTGGGCCATGACTCCTTGTGAAATTCTGATGATACGGACCTGTTTCCATAGGAAATGTATGTGCTGACCATACACACAACACACACACACACGCACACTGTAACACCCGGGTCGCAGGAGTTCGAATCCTGGACTCTCCTACTGGCTAGGACTGCCACACTGGCCGTCAGAAAGCGCTGTGCGTGCACTGACCTGGGCATCACGCTGGCCCATGATGTAGGGCTAGTGAAGACTTGGTAGAGAAACCTCCAGAACACAACCTTGTTTTAGAAAAGAAACAATGACTTCTCCATAATCGTCAAGCAAGTCTGAAGAGATGTCAGAGGTGCGTGGAGTGGGGGCTTGCTGCCTTGGCTGTCACCTGCAGCCTTCCCTAAGGAGCCTGTATCTGATTGCCAGTAAGAGACCAAACAAAACCTTTCAAAACCAAAAGCAAAACCCCTCCTATAAACACTGGATCTGGGCACATCAGCCTTGGGTCTCCGGCCACAGATGTTCTAGAAGGAGGGGTGCTGATGTCACCATGTCCTGGATCCTCCGCGGGGGTGTGGGAAGGTGCCCAGACTTGCTCTGACCCTAAGCGCTCCACGGCTGACCCCTGGCCCTAGGGCCGGCCCTTCCCGTCCCTCCCCCCTTACAGGGAACAGGGAACAGTTTCTCAGATCTTCCAGCTGAAAACCCTACAGGACGCCTCTGGCACTGGTCCTAGGCCCGGGAGTGAGAGGAGGGCTGCCTGGCCACAGGGCAGCTGAGCGCTGCCAGACAGGCCCCTGAGCTCCTGCGGGGAGGAGCCAGCTCCCTGTGTTTGGAGCTTTTCCGACTGTCTTGGGGAGGTGAGAACTGGGGTATTTGTTGTCTTCTACTATATTGGGGTTGTTTACCTTGTTGCCTGGGACTCTCTCCAGCCGGGGAACAGCTGAGCAGCCCAGTGACTAAGCGCCCCAGCACTGGGTGTTCATCTCCAGGACACTTCACACTCTCTCACCCTCCTCCCACCACCTCTGAGCAGGGACAGCTGGGCCTTCTCCGGTGGCCGGGGAGGGAGCTGCAGCTGAGGAGGTCAGGCACGTGGCCTTGGCATCCGAGTGGAAGATGATGACCCAGGCTGGCGAGAGCTCAGCAGTGTTTAGGTCAGTGGGGGATGGTGGGGTGGAGCTTATTTATCTGATACATTATATGTGGAGTTTGGGGTAATACCTGCGGATAGTCCCCTCTCTCAGCCCATCACCCCGACGCCCAAACGCTAGGACTCTCATCCCTGGCTCACTACAAGCAGGGTGGGGGGAGGTTGATCACATCACAGATTGAGCTCTGGCACCCCGGAGACGCAGGTCCCAGCACAAGGCGGGTAGAGTCCATTCTCCACTGGCCTGAGCATGCTGGGCCTGTCTGGTCTGGCTATTTGGTCCCTTTCCTTTCGGGGATTAGTGTCCTTGACATAGCCACTTGAAAACAAAGTGCATCTTTTAGTTAGCTTATTTCACTCTGCCCACAGGCCAAAGAAGTGGCCCATGGAGATGTTTCTGCTTTCTGGCTTTCAAGGTCTGGGTGTGGGCGCTGAGGCAAATTTGGGCCCAGGACACATGAAGTGAGCGGAGTCAGGGGAGGGAGAGGAGACGACGACTGAGTAGGCCAGCACTCCAAAGACCGTGGCACTGCTGCTGGGCCTGGCTAAGTGTGACTGGGTTGGAGGCTTAGTTCCAGTTCCAGCTCCAGCTGTGTGGCTCTGGGCAAAGCTCACACCCTCTCTGGTCTCCAGAGGCACATTAGTGAGATAAGGGAGTGGGAGAGATGACTCATGTCTCTGCCTCTAGTCAGAATGCCGGGACCATGAACCCTCTGCGCCCCCTCCACCCCCTTCCTGAAAGTGGTTCAGAGCCAAAGTCTAGACTAGTCAGACAAGCCTTTTCTTCTGCTAAGTCTCATCTCTTCTCCATGTCTGTTATACTTGGCTGACGATAGGCAGACCCCAAATTCAAATCGGATCTGTCTGACTCCCCAAGCGTCCCCACCGTGGGGTGTAGGGGTGCCAGCTCAATGTGAATTTCACGACATTCCAATCATCCTCCAGGTTTTGACTTGCACCCAAGGGCCCTGGCATCAGGCGTGGCCCAGGCTGCGGGCACTCACGCACCCTCTCCTGTACACGCATACCAAGCGTGGCTCCCGGGCCAGGCATGTGATGGAGATGGCTTCCTTCCAGTCCCTGCTGGCCGGGCGGGAGGCAGCGGCCAGGCCGGCGAGCAAGTCAGACCACGCCTGGTGACCAGCTTGGGAGGAAAGTGGAGGGACGCCACTGGCCACCTGCTGGCTCCCCTCTCCAGCTCGGCATGGCTTTTGTTGTTTCTAGCCTTGTGTACCTTTTTGACAGCACACTGGAAGCCCGTCTGCTTGTCCTCCATCCTGTGCACCTCTCCAAAGGAGCCTCTGCCCAGGCAGGGCTGGCGCGTGGCCCAGTGGACCTCCTCCCGGTACTCATAATCCACAGGCTTGAGTTTCTGGGGAGGGGAGCAGAGACAGCAGCCTCAGAGCCAGGGCGGGATGGAGGGCCACAGGGAGGCAGGCTTTCCAGCGGTGGGCCCTGCCAGGCTGCTGAGCTGAGCCCTCCTGAGCAAAGACCCTGCCCTCTTCTGGCTGAGAGGCAAGGCTCTGCAGAGAGGGCCACAGAGGGGGTCATAGGAAACGGTTAGGGCAAGGGAAAGCTTCCTGTGGGCTGTGGGGCCAGCTGATCCTCGCGCTGGACACCCTCTGCCCCGGATTTGAGGCTGCGGGGCAGAAACACAGCGGTCGGCGAGGAGGGCAATGAAAAAGAGAGCTCAGGAGCTGAGGGGCAGCGGTAAAGGCCACTGGAAAGAGGCGGGGGTAGAGGGGTCAGGTCCACGGTGGATGGCGCGCCACCCAGAAGCCTGCCTCTGCGAAAGCCGTTTAGTGCCGGGGTTCTCTGGGAAGAGCCCTAGTGCCGGGGGCCGGGTGGGGGTGCCCCGGGACTCGGGGGCACGGGGTCACACCTGCAGTGGCGCTTGCTTATCCCTGTTCTCAGCATATGTATTATTCATAAAGACACACCTAGCATTTAGCGATAACAGAGCAGCCGCCCAGAAGAATTAGAGGGAGAAATGGCCAAGAATGGGAAGTGAGCCTAGAGGTGGCATGGAGGCGCTGCTTGTCGTCAGTGAGAAGCAACTTTCCACTCTTTGATTTGTAATCACACGCATGATATAGTCGCCCCGCCCCCCACCGGTGGGCTTGGGAGGGGTCAGGCAGCCCCAGGATGCCTCTTCTCCCCAGTGGGCCCCACCTACTCTCCCCTGGCAGCAGAGGTGGCTGTGCGTGTGTCTGGGGGGACTGACTACTTACCTCAGTAAGCAGGACTCCCTCGCTCTCCTCGGTTTTGGGGCTGGGGTCCTGGGGTCTGGAGCCCCCTGCCGACCAGGTCTTGGCGAGGCTGGCCAGGCTGCGGGCCTGGCCTGAGCTCACACTGCCCTGCAGGGCGTGCACAAGGTATTCCTCCACAGAGAACTGCTCACACGTGCCGCGAGGGGGGCCGCTGGGCTTGAGGTGTGGGCCGGGCTGGGGCTGCGGGCTGCCTACAGAGGCCAGTTTGCCCAGAAAGAAGGACTCCAGGGGATGAGGTTCCCAGGGCTGCAGAGGGTGGAATGGGAAGGGGTGGGGCAGTCGGCTGTAGGGGAAGGGGCGGGCGGCCTGGGGCAGAGGGCCTGTGTGCTGCGGGTGGTGGAGTTTCCACACGTGGTTCAGACATTGCAAGGGGCTGATCAGTTTGTGGAGTTCCGAGCGAGGCAGGGCTGGCTTCAGACCCTCCCCGAGTTTCTTAAAACACAGTTGGCTGAGGTCTGGCTCCTTCAGAGGCTTGGTGAACTGGGGGGTGTTTCTAACATACGGGGTGTTCAGCGGAGACTCATCCTCCTGCAGGGAAAAAGACAGCTTATCAGGGCGCGGCCGGTCTGCAGGGGGCCTGGTGGGCGGAGGTCGGGCCAGAGCCCCCGCCCGGCGGGCTGGGGGGCCGCACCTGCACGGGGACGGTGCAGCTCTCCTGCTCCGGGGTCCTGGGGCGGGGCTTGGCCACGGCCACGCCCACTCCGGCCGGGGCCAGCGACCGGGCGCCGCTCCTCCTCTTGCGTTTCTTCCGGGCCTTGCCGCGCCGTTTTCCCTTCCAGCACACGCGGGCCATCTTCCCCTCGGTCGAGTGGGCCACATTGTTGGGGATCTGATCGAGACTCTCGGGCTGGCTGTCAACAGGGGGACAGAGAATTTGAGGGGGCAGGAAGCTGTAGGGCGCAGGGAGCTGCTGTGGGGACCCACAGACCCGAGGCGGAACCCCAACTCTTGGACTGTACGAATGCGGGAAAGCCCTTAAACTCAACGAGCCGTCTCCTCGTTTCTAAAACGGGTGCAGTACTGATTTGTTTCCTTCTGCGGGGTTTGTTCATAAAACAGGGTCAGTATTGTGTTGAGGTTCAAACGAGCCGCCTAGTGCCGGGGCTGCTTCCGAGGGGCGGCCGTCATCACTGAGGGGGGGACACCGCTCTTCTTTTTGACGCGCAGTAGACACAGTCCCCATGCTGCTCTCCCGCAGGCAGGCGGCCCCTGGAGCTCCCAGGAGGGGGCACTGGCACCGGCTTAAGTTTGTTTCTGCTCCTCACAAGGACGGACAGTGGGGTCTGGCCGTCAGTTGGTTCTTGGGAAGGCAGGGCTGCTGTGGGGAGGTGAGGGGCCACGGAAAGATACCCTGGCGTGGCTGGGCGGGGGCGGCCTTCTCTCACCACCACCCCATCTAAGTTGGCTCTGCCCCTGCCAGATGCTAACGGCACAGGCAACAGAAGTGTCTGAAACAGCCACTGACAAGCAGCTGTGGAGCAGACTGAGCCCCGGCCCTCTCCCGTGGCTCATCATCTGGCCCCCACAAAGGAGGCAGGCTCGCCTCGGGTCTGGGGGTGGCTGGGGGCCTATAGGCAGCTGAAAGAGGGCGAAGCATCAGAGACCCCTGGCGCTGGGCTAAAAGGCCGCCGGGCAGGCAAGGAATGTGGCCGACCCCAGCACAACTAGGTTCAGGGGGAGCAGCCCCCCTTGACTTGCTGATCCTGAACAGGGCCCATATTCCAGGGCTACACAAGTCTGCCCGTGGGAGAGGAAGGAACTGTTTCCAGCTTCAACTTCTAGTGGCCAAGAATCTTTGGGGACCACAAGCCTGGGAACTGGCTGAGGCGTCTCTGGCTTCCTTTCTGTAGCTTCCGTCTGTGCAGACTCCACCAGCTGTGGGTGTCCCTGCCTGTTTGTGAGGCGCTTCCCTCCTTGGGTGTGTCTCACAGGAGAGAAGACACAGCAGGCCTGTCCGGGAGTGGCCCTCCGTTCTCACAACAGAGGGAAAAGGGAAAGCGACTCCCATTCCCAGCAACCCCCAAACCCCCCCCCCCCATTGATGGGAAGCCAGGGGGAGCAGCAGGGACTTGAGAATAAAAATAAACCGTCCAGCCGAGGTGGCCCAGAGACAGTCATCCGCAGGCCATGAAAGCTTTTGAAAATCTCTGCCCGAGAGCAGCTCGGCCAGGAAAGCCTGGCTGGGTTCCAAAGAGCTGAACCACAGGTGCTGGAGGAGGGAGCCAGGGTCACTTGGGAACAGCCTGGCCACGGGAGGGGCAGGGGACCCGATTCGGTTCCTGGCCTCCTTGCTTACCTGTACTGTTTTGACCCAGCAATAAAAATCCGTTCAGAGAAAGTGGGGCTGAACTCTTGGCTATTCTCACCTTTAAAGCAAAGGAGAGGGAGTTAGAGAAAGGAGAAGAGAAACAACAGGAATTCAGCACTTAGGAGAGAGACATCTGACAGGAACCCCAGAGGGCCATCCCCTCTGCTTCTGCTCAGAAGGGGGCCTACCGCCCACCGAGGCCAGCGTTTTTGCAGAGTCCAGTGTCCCCTGCCCTGCTGAAGGGCCGACGGCAGAAAGTCCAACTACAGCTCGGGACTATAAGGCTGTGGGACTGTCATACTGAGAGGCTTAAGTCAGGTGGCCTGACCCTCAGCGAGGGCCAGGCACCCGTTCACAGCTCGGTAGGAAGACACCTCTGCGTCTGTGACCGTATGTGCGTGCTGTTGCCACTATGTCACTCACGCCATTTAAATTTTGCTTCTCTCATCTCCCCAAAGCCAGCTGCCAGGGAAGATGAGTAAATGTGGGGAAGGGCCATGGGGCTGCCTCTCGCTCGGCTCTTCCCTAGGTCAAGGGAAGGTGTGGGCAGAGGACTCTGGGCTCCACTCAGCCTCCTGGGAATCCTCAGCCGTCGGTGGCAGCCACTATCCTGACTCATCTCGGGTATTGTGAGTGGAAGCAAAGACCCCGTCTTGCCCTGCGGTCCCTCCACTGGCCCTGTCAGCTAAAGAGCAGGTGTTCATTCTTTGGGGTGGGGCTACCTCAAGGTGGAAGGGTGTGAAAGGCCTACAGGCCTCGCAGGGACTTTCCAGGAGACCTGGCCTTTCCTGTCCCGGGCCTTTCAAGAGCAGTGCAGGCTGCTCAAGGCCACAGCACAACACTGAGAGCTTGATAACTCCGCGGAGTGCCTCAGCCCCACACGTTGCTGCTCCCAGCCCAGCTCTCGCCTGCTGCTCTGGTCACGACAGTTCAAAGCCGCCACTCACCCCTTCTCTCTCTCTGTGTCCTATGTCCCAGCCCCACAACTCCACACTGACTCACACTTAACTCCGCTGTATTATGGGAGAATCGACCTAGTGGCCACCCTGACCTCCCCTCTTATATAGGGGGACCCTCACCTGGGTTCACCTCTGCCCAGCCCCGCGACGGGCCCACCCAGCTGCCCTCTCTGCCAACACCCCCACGCGGTGTCCTTACATTCGGCCTGGGCGATGATGGAGATGCTGGCCAGCCCGCCCTCGGAGCCCTCCTTGGCGGTGCCCTTGGTGATCACGTCGTTCAGGATCTCCCACTTGCCGCAGAACACGGGGCTCTTCTCCACGGCCTCCAGCTGGCTGACGGAGCTTTCCTTCTTCCCCACGGCCTGCGTCTTCTCCTTGGCTTTGCCGAGCTCCTTCTGCTGCCCGACTGCCGAGCCAGGGGCGCCTGGGCAGGCCATCTCCATCACTGCCATCTCCCAGGCTCACGCTCTCCCTGAGACCAAGCACAGAGCGGGTCACTCCTGGACCCCGAAGAGGCCCAGAAGGCGGAGGGGACATCTCTGCTGCCTTGTACCTCATCCGTCCTCCCGAGCTCCCACGGCAAGAGTGGATCTCTCACCAGCTTGACCGGCTCCATGGGGCGAGCCCCAGCTGGACAGCATACCACCATCCACAGACCCCCCACTTCCCCCACAGCCCAGCACAGACATCTGGGTGTGAAACTGCACGCAAATGCCAGTGCCAGGGCCTGGCTCTTTTCTCAAGATGGGCCTGCTTGTGGCTCTGTGGGAGGAATGGGCAGGCTTCCTTCCCTAAAATCCAAATTCATCGGTTGAACATGTCTCCCAGGCATCATTTACCTCTCAGACAACATCGGTGGCTAACTGCCATTAGCACCCCCAACAGCAACCCCCACCTCTGCAAACATGCGGCAAAGCACAAGGGGTCATCTCTCTCTGGGTGCCACCTTCACCTGCCCCATGTGCTAGCAGGAGGCACAGGTGGTGGGCATGGAGCTGGCCCAGCTGGCCAGCAGCAAGGGGCCTGGGGCTGCATGAAGGAGAATGGCTTCCCTCTGAGGCTGTGACATGGCGGCTGTGAGTCCCCAGAGGGCAGGCCCTTCTTGGGGGCAACTGGCTTCAGACTAGAAGGCACCCACCGAGGTTCTTCCTCAGTGTGCTCATGGCTGCTTTTAGTGGTTGCGGGCAGATGCGGTCTCCCGCTGGCAGGCCGTCCACCGGCCTGGGATCACGCCTCCATCTGCTGCTAGGGCAGAAAGGCGGGTAGTGGGAAGCCAAACCTCTGGCTCTCTGGCCTTTTGCCCTATCTGGCTGGACACTGTGGGAAGCTGGGAAACACCAGTTCCGACTGGCCTGCCTCTCCAGGAATGCCACGGAGCCCGTGCCAACGCTGGAGGCGGGGTAAGGTGGGCTGGCCTTGTGGGTCACTACTGATTTGATCCTTACATGTCCACCCTTTAGAACCTCCCGACGTTTAGCCCTGGCAGCTCCAGCTTTCACCAAGGAGGCCTAGACTTGGTTCTGCACACCGGGTGCTCCAGGCTGGCTCCTAGTCTGGGGCTGTCACTGTGCTTACGAAACAGGGAACTGCAATATGATGCATCTTTAAAAGGTTATCATCACTAAAGATCAAAATATAAAACACTTTCTGTACTGTTCAGTTAACCCCACTCCTGTCCCAGGATCCCAGGAACTGAAATTAGAAAACACAACCAGAAACTCAACCAGAAACGTCCAGGGCCAGATGGCAGTCTCGCGTTACCTGGTGACATGGAGGAATCTGGGGGCTGCTGACTTCTCCTAGGCGACACTCTGCCAAACCAGGCTGCTTTTCTTGTAAATGCCCTTTCGTCCCACCTATACCTATGCTCAACCCCTTCCACCTCCAAGGAGGAATCCATCTGGGGCCTAGGGTGGCTCCGACCTCTCTCAGCCTCGTTACCAGGGGAACATGAGATCTTAAAAATCTAAGATCCTCCAAACCTAAAAGTATTAGAGATATGTGACGAGAGGCCTCAACCGTACTTTTTAACCTCCCCATTTTCATCTTGGAGAAACAGAGGCCTGACCTTGGAGGCTGCCCGAGGTCTTCCAGCCTGCAAGCGGCACACAGGGCCAGGGCCCAGACCCCAGGCCTCAGGCTGCACCACACGCACCCCAAGGGCCTGCACTCCAGACAAACACAGAGGCCAACTCACAGTCCTTCTGGTCAGAAGGCTCCTGGGGGCAGAGGCGGCCATCTTGGAAGAGCACAGCAGTATGCAGAGACCGCTGAGCTGTCTGAACGAGGGGAGCAAAGGTCAACCACGAGACGCGAGGACCCCGAGCACCAGCTGGGTCCCCTCTGACGAACAGGAGGTGCGGTCACGTGCTCAGAGGTTGCTCCAAGGGCACCTAGACATTCAGCTGTAGCTGCCCTCGGGTCACACAGCCTGTCTGGGTCTGACGAGAGCTCCCCCAGAGAGCCCACGGGGCACCCCTTCACCCCAGAGCTATCCTTCCAGCTTGACTGTCTGGCAGGCTGCTGCCAGAGAGGCCCCGCTCCCTGGGCTGGCCAGGCGCCCTGGCCGTGGAGGAGCAGGTGTGGTCGCACGGCATCTCCTCTGCAGCTCGCTGATGGCTCACACGGGCGGACGGCAGCAAGGAGGCTGCGGAGGAGCTAGCCGGCGGCTGGCATCTGAGCTTGCGAAGGACGGAGGGCACAAAACCATGGCCTGTCCCGAGCCACGTGATCATGGCTCAGCCCCTCGCCCACGGCTCAAGGCCTCTTCATGGGGTACGCTGGCTCTCCTCTGCTGCACACGCTCCCTCCCTTATACAGGGCCTTTTTCAGGTGGTCTACAAAGACGGGCTTCTGCCGGAGCCTGGGACTGCTGCCAGTGGCTTTCCTGGCCTGGGATTTGGTCCTAGGCCTGTCACCCCAGCTCACTGCCCCAACGCTCTGCTCCCTCACTCACCTGTAGCTCCTGGGCAGTGAGGACCAAGCGGGAGTCAGCTGTGCTCCTGCCCTTGAAGGCAAGTCCAGACACTGCCCTGTTACCCAGCCTGGACTCTCCCCAGCTCCACTGAGACCTGTACTCACTGTGCCCCCGTCTCTGGGTCAGATCTGAGGGTGGGTGCAGTGGCCATAGCCAAACCCACTCAGCTCAAGCACAAAGCCAAGAGAACAAGAAGGGAAGAAAGTGGGTTCATGCAATATTCTTTTTAGAGCCTGCTGCATGTCCACGGCCTGTTCTCTGTGCTGCCCCAATGACCCCTGGAAGAGTCTGGGGAGGGGGGCAAACGAACGACTGCATGGTCCCGGAGGAACCTTGGGCCTTATCTGTGAGACTCCTGGACCCTGAACTTCAACTCAGTTCTGCAAGCTCCAGAAACAATTGCATTTTTCTAGAGAAGAGGTCCACAACTTTCATCCAGACCTTCTCCAAAGGTCTCTGTTTCCTCAAACGTTTGCTGTAGTCTCCCACAAGGTGCAGGCCAGGGCTGAATGCCTGGGTCTGGCTTCACTCTTCCCATCGAGGAAGAGCTGGTTAATACTGGACATTCCAACTTGACAGCAAGTTAGAATAACCAGATGAGCTCTTAAAAGGCACTCACCCTCAACCTACTGAGTCAGTCACTGGGCAGCAGGCCCAGAATCTACTTCTAACAAGTTTTCTGGATGATTCCACAGCCAGGGGGCCGGGGACCGCTGGGTGACCCCTCCTCCGACTCTATGGACTCACTGTCCAGTATGGTAGACACTGGCCACATGGGGCTATTGACAGTCAAATCAACTCAAATTAAATACACATTTAAAATTAGCTCCTCAATTACACTAACTACCACACTGCCAGTGAAGAGAGAACATTTCTCTTACTGCAGAAAGTTCAATGGGCCGTTCTGGTCGAAGGCAGTGTCTTCTAATTTCAGCTTCTGGGATTCTGGGACAGGAGTGGGGTTAATTGAACAGTACAAAAAGTATTTTATATTTTGATCTTTAGTGATGATAACCTTTTAAAGATGTATTATATTTCAGTTCCCTGTTTTTGTAAGTACAGTGACAGCCCCAGACTAGGAGCCAGAAGATAGGGTTCTAGACTTGGCAGGGTTTTTTGCTTTTTTTTAAAGCAGCATGACCATGTTTGTCAAATGAAATCATACCTCATCCCTTAACATAGGAACAAGCAAGCAACAAGCATGTAACTGACATGTAATTCACACTCGAAATAGCAGCTTGGCTAAGGAAGCTGTGCAAGGGCCCTGCAGCTTCCCTTATCCAGAGAGGATCTCTGGAATGCTCCGTCTCTGAGGAGGAGAGCAGGGAGAGCTGGGGAGTCTCTTGAGGATCCTTCTTGTTCCCAGACACACCTGGCTTGTCATGACTACTTGAGGGCTAGGTGACTCCCGGTCGTCACTACTGACTACGCAGCACCGTTACTCAGGCAGTTTCCAGGGGTGAAGAGTGGGGCTCAAATAAGGTCATGGGGGGGGGTCCTGAACCCACACTGCTGTAGCCTGCACGCTACACTTTGAGGGCCCCGTTGTTTCTCTTAGCTTTTCTGGAGTTGTTCTGGGGGCTGAATGAGGCAGAACACGTGACACACTCATCGGTTTGCCTGGCCAGCAGAGGATGCCGGGGACATTCATTCCCTTGGCTCAGCCATGGCACCCCTGAGTCAATGGGCTTCACCCAAGGCACTCAACATTGAGCCTGGTTCTCTGGACATAAAAGGGAAAGAAAAATCTCTGTCTGAGAGGCTCATCTTGAAAATGTCCACTGTGGGGTTAGGGCAAACCAGGGCAAGCCCCTCTCCTAACTATTTCATCTGGAGGCAGAAACCTAGCCTCCCCTGAATGCCCAGGGAGGGCCAAATAGCAGAAGTAGTGACTCAACTTCTTTAATAAGACATTCGCTGAGAACCAATCTCCTTCTGAAGCTTCCTCTTTCACGCCTGCACGGAGGAAGCTGGCAGTCGCTTGAGGAGCTTACATTCTACCGGAGGGAAGAGCAGTCGCCAGGATTGACAACACAATGCCATCGTGCAGCGTCAGAGGCAGGCACTTAGCAGATGCCATGGAGACAGAAGGGGGGTACCAGGCCCAGACTGAAGGGTGTCAGGAAAGGCCTCTGAAAGCAGGTGGCGTCTGGGCTGAGTCTCAAGAGGTGGTGAGCAGGAACTGCCCAAAAACAGGGAGAGGGAATTCCAGGTGAGGGACGGCAAAGGTTCAGGTGCAGTGGGGAGCCCGCACAGGAACCGCAAAGGGCCCGAGCTGCTCAGAGGCAAAGCTTACTTTGGGGAGCTGCAGGAGATGAGCCTACAGGTCGCAGGGGTGTGTGTGGCTCGCCCTGGTACACCCCCAGGGGTTAAACTCCTTGTGAGAGGGTAGAAGTCAGGGGTAGAATTGCAGATGGAGGAGCCCACGTGGCCGGACAGATGCTGGGCCTTAAATGAAAACCCTCCTGGGCTGGGCTCAGTTCTTGCCCTCAGCC